TTTTTTTTTTTCATTCGTAGCAGAGTGATGACATAGTACAAACTATAAAAGACTGTAGAATAAGAATGGATAGCCAGCCCAGTCTTTACTTATTTTGCTGTGCTTCTATAATTCAGAATCCAATCTATTATCATATAATCATAAAGGCAATATTAATCACGGTATAACAATAGTAAAAGCAAGAGATTCTAAAGAGTAGATTTGGGGACAAATGGACAACAAGGTTTAAATACTTTCAAATTTCAAATATGGCAGCAATATCACATTTCGGTTAATCATGCGAACACACACGGTGTATAAGGCTCGCAAAGATGATTTTACTTATTTTACTATAATTCGACTCGTTAACTGAACGAGCTTTTCAAATGAGCTCGACTCGTTTATCAAACAAGGCGACCTAAGCTGAGCTCACGAACAAGTCATTTATTTTATTGTGGTAAACGAGACTCCATTGTGGTAATATAACGAGTATACACAACTCCGTTTAAGACTTGTGTACACTAATATATATATATATGTATATAAAGTTTGATAAATAAAAATAAATAATGGTGTAATTAAAGTATCGTGTCAATTATTATTATTATACTAATAAAAGTTGATATGAAATGAATATTTAAGAATATTATTTCGAGCACTTTGAATATGAGAGCATTTGCGCTTACACAATCAACGTGCCATTTAAAAAGAGAGAGGGCGGAAAATGTCGTCTGGGCAGCCACCGAACGGCAACCTCGACCCAACCGCCCTACCAATTTCCTCCCAAATATAATCCTCTCAACTTCTTTCCTCATTCTTCATATTCAATTTCCATGGATACCTTAGGTTCCCTACCAATTTCAAATGCCCTTCCTCTTTTCTTCACCTTCTATTTCATTCTCTACCTCATTGCCTATTTCAGCATCTTCCGCACCTGGGCCCGAAACCTCCGGCCCGAAGCTTCGAGCTGTGCCATATCCCTAGCTCATGGCACCCCCGCCGTTTTCTTGGCCTGCGGCGCAATCCTCTCCGACCCGACCCGCGATTTCCACTCCCCTAACACCTCCCTCCAGAACCTCGTCCTCGATTACAGCATTGCCTACTTCCTCATGGACCTTGTCCATTACCTAACCTTCTACCCGGCCGACCTCCTCTTCATCGCCCACCATCTGGCCACCCTGTTCGTGTTCGTCACCTGCCGTTATTTGGTTTACCACGGGGCTTTTCCGATACTCGTGCTCCTCATTTTGGCAGAGGCCACGAGCTTGTGCCAGAATGTGTGGACTCTGGCTCGTGCGAGGAGACCGGAGTCCAAAGTTGCTGCCAAGGTGTATTATCTTTTGTCCCCTCCGTTTTATGCTCTCTACTCTCTTATCAGGGGCTTTCTCGGTCCTTGTTTTGTTTACCGGATGTTTGCAATTTACTTGAGCGGGGCTGTTGATAGCGTGATACCGAGATGGGTTTGGGTTTCTTGGGTTTTTGTGGTTGTGACCGCGATTTCAGTTAGCATATTGTGGATTTCGAATCTCTGGATTGAGTTCTGTACAGAAAGGGAGATGGGAGTTGGAAAGAAAGTTGGGTAGAGAAAACGAAAACAAAGAAATGTTATATTTGAAATGACAAAGGCATCATCTTTATATATATATATATATATATATATATATATATATATGAAATGCATAGTCATTTTTGTTGTATTGTTGCAATTAGAATATGGTGTTGCAGTGTTCTAAACTCTGATGGGATGATCATTTTGGAGTTTAGGAAACTTTAAGCTTTTATGGGTGAATTGTACTGGAAGTGCGCTTTTTTTTTTTTTTTTACTCATTGTACTGGATGTGCTTCTCTTGTTTCTGCTTGATGGCTATTTTGCTATGAAACATAGATTTTGCAACTCCATTTTTCTAGCAAGTTGCAAGAATTTGAGTTTGATTCGAGCCGAACTCTAACTAAACGAGCCAATAAACCACATTCATAGGTGCCGAGTGCTACATTATGTTTATAGGTGCCGACTGTGTGGAAACCGTGCAAGTTGTGCAAGATAAAAATATTGTACAACACTATCCACATTCATCTACACTACACATACTTGTTTGAAGCAGGAGAATTAATTAGGAACGTCCAATCACACTTGAGACTACCAAAATGTTAAGGAGGTGAGGACTAATCCCCAGCTGGACAAGATCCTAAACATAACAGCAAGAAAATACACACGATTTCAATCATTAGGGTCAAAAGGATCCAAATCACATTGTACAAAAGCTATTGCAATATCTCCAAAACTCTCGATTAAGCTGCCGACAAAACAGAACGCTCATAAATATCATACGGCTGCAGGTCGCTGGTGGGTACCTCAACATGTTGTGGCGGACCACCAAAGCAGAGGTACTGGTTCATCAACTTCTTGTGGTTTTTAGCCCCACAATATATATCATCACTCACAACACTAATCGAGCACGAAGCCTTTGCAATCTCATTTTCAGGCTGACCTCCCCCCTTTTGAGTATCCACTGAACTCAGAGAAGACATTGACAGTTTCGAGAAGGAGCTCGACCTCGACCTGTGGTGCCCCGCGAAACTTGGAATGGCCTGCATCACGCCGTGCATAACTCCCGAGGCCAGTTTCTTCTTTGCAGCCGGACTCGGCACATTGCTCCTCACAGAGAGCGTTCTCTTGTTGTTCGAAAACCTCTCACGCAAGGGCACAGGCGCCTTCTCTGGACAAGTCTCGTCCACCAATTTCTTGAGCCTCTCGGTGACTGTCCCCTTCCTCATCCTCGGCCAGTAGAGAAACCGTTTTAGCCTTTCAGTCGCACTATTTGCTTTGCGCGGAAGATTACTACTACCGCTACTACCATGGTTGTTCGTCTCCTCATTCGAGTCGTGACGACTAATAACTCGAGGAGAGGAATTTCCAGGCCCCACGCTGCGTGCCCCGTCAGACGCATTGTCCACGCCCGTGTAAAGGAATATCTCGATATCGCTTATTCTGAAGGACGTCCCGGGACTGCCTCCTGTGCTCTGCCTCTTTATGTGGGACGCGATAGCCCTCCTGGCGGAGTAGTCCTGGCAGCTAAAAATTCCGCCAGCTGACATCAGCTGCCTCGTCAGCAGGTCGGAAGACGAGGAGTGGGGTAGCTGCCGGAGGACGTCGAGTGGGGTCATGCCACTGGAGTCGCGGATATTGACGTCGATGCCTGGAGCAGTCATGAGAAGCTCGACCAGGTTGGAGTGAATGTTGCCAGTGATGGCAAGGTGGAGGGCCGTCCTGCCGTTAGCATCCCTGGCGTTGATGATCTCGCCTATGTCGACAAGTTGGCTGCCGAGCAGTTGCTTGAGAAGATTGATCTGGCGGTCGACGCGCCGGAAACCAGGAGTTTGGAAGCCGGAGACGACAGTGTGGAGGAAGGTTTCGCCGGCGTTGTTTGTGGCGTTGATGGAGGCAGGGGATGAAAGGATGAGGGCTTGGACCACGGGCAGGTGGCCTCTGTGGGCGGCCACGTGCAGGGCGGTGTTACCTTGGTTGTCTGTCGACTTGATTATGTCCGGGGAGGAGGATGTCAGATCTTTTACCACCTGGGATTTTAAGAAGAAAAAAACAGATAAAAACTAGGATCGTAATAATGAACTTGACACAGTGAGGAAAACTTCAAGAAAGTAGAACTCATTTCATTTCAAAAACTAAAATGCATTTGGTAAATGAGTGGAGAAATGGGTTGCAAAGCTGTTTTGGGCTTTTTGAGGTTAATAAATAACCATATTTTGGTTTGGGAAAAGCAGAAAAATCCCAAAGCTGTTTTTTTCCTTAGAAGTTAAGGAGGAGCAAGGGATGGTCTGTAATTTCTTTCACTAGGCCATGACTTGGGACATCTTAAGAAGAGAAAAACATCAATCAATTAACTGAATCAATCACTATTTTTCCAAATAACACACCCCTACATAATAGCTAATGCCACCACACAGAGAAAAAATCAAGCACAGAGCAGAACCAATGAATGAAAATCACACAACCCCTAATCATCCTATAACCAAACCACACAAAATCTCTTTCCAAGAAAATACACACACATTTTAGTCCGTAGAGCAAAAAAAATATTCTGGATTTCTCACCTCAACCTGACCACGAGCAGCCGCCGCGTGCAAAACCGTGGCCCCCTGATTATCCCTATAAGCCAACAGATCATCCGAGCAATCACTGAGAAGCTCCTTCAACAGCTTCAAATTACCCCCTCTGGCCGCCGCATGAAGCGCCCTATTCATAATCTCCAGCTTATAACCCGATGGCACCTCCCCCCCACCTTGCTGCGAGAACCTAGGTGAAGCTGCATAATCGAAAACAACCCTAAACACCTCTGAGTTCTTGCTCCTGGAAGCAGCATACAGAATATCAGTCACTCCATACTCCCCCTCCCCGAAAACAAGAAGCGGGTCCCTATCCAGCAACTCCCGAACAAAAGCCGAGTCACCGGCGGATGCGGCCGTGTACAGAAGCCACCCACCGTATCCGCAACCGAAAAGGGAATTCTGACTTTTCTTGGTTTCGCTCTCGGCCAACAGCTTCCTTGCGACCTCCGAGCGACACCTGGCCACGTCGTGGAACTGCTCGTCATCATCCCACACGGTTTCGAGCCGTCGGATCCTACGGAGGGAAGTCAGCTTGATGATATGGTTACCGTCGATGCGCAGAAGCTCCCGGACCAAGTCGTAGTGTCCATTAGCAGCTGCCCAATCGATCGGTGATGCGTACCACCACTGGTCTCCGGTGCTTTCCCACCTCAGAGGGAAGTATGTTGGGGGTGGCATAATTTTTATTCCTTCTTTTCTCTTCTTTTCAAGAGAAAAATCAAAATTTTCCTGCTAAAAATGTTCCTTGGTCAAAGTCTTCAGACAAATGGTTTTGGAACAAGTAAAAGATCACAACTTTTTTTATGTTCTCCAACACAAAACGCAAGCTCTCTCTGTGCAAAAGAAAAATAAAGCAAGAATATGACAATCAGATTTTTTGTTCGAATTAAGCGAAAAGAGAAGAACTTTGACAATATTAAAAAGGATGGATGGGGGAAGAAAGTAAAACAAATGCAAAACCACTCAGAGGTTGTTCAATCTTGTAATAGTAAGGTATAAAAGTTGGTTAAGAGCAAAGATGCATCTCATCTGAGATCTTGAGGAAATAGAAGAGAATAATGAATGAGGCAGACCCTACCAACTTTTAACAATAGCCATAAAACTGTAGATAAGCGGAGATTGCGAGACAAGGTAAAAGGGGAACCATGTATGTTAATGGGAGAAATAATTATTACATTACAGGAGTTCAAAAAAAAAAAAGATGTCTCAGTAGTGCTCTAAATCATCATAATTTAAACAAAAACACAGTTGAACAGCCTGGATTAAAAACAAATAAAATCATCAGATTTCTGAAAAAAGCAGGAGAGGAATTAGAGAAATAACACATGCCACCATGATATTGTGAACATTCTTCATAATTGGCAGCTACACTAATTGAGGAAGAAAGATTAAGGACAAAAGCCATCATCTTTGTATTGTCACTTACAGAAGATAATCGCATACCTCGCGAAGGGAATGATAACTGACTTGGAAAAAATAAAGAGAAATAATAATAATAATAATAATAATAATAATAATAATAATAATAATAATAATAATCCCTAATTCCCTATTGGTGGAGTACAAATTAGCAAAATATGTCCAAATAACAGCTATCACTGGCAAAATGAGAAAAAAAAAAAAAAATCGAACCATAAAGTACATTTATGGACAAATATCTCGTGAAGACTTGATTTCCTCGTTGAAATCCAGCGGATTTTGCCTGTCTTAATTAATTCTAAGATGTGACGACAATCGAACTCAAAAACAAGAAATATGAAGGAGCGAACAAATCAAGAAAAAGAAAAATCAGGAGTCAGCTTTCTTCTATTCTACTTCTACCATATTGAGATCGCATACAATTAAAGATAGAGAGATTATTATTATTATTATTATTATTATTATTATTATTATTATTATTATTATTATTATTATTATTATTATTATTA